TCCTGCTAACTTCATTCATTCATTTTAAAAAGTGTTATTTGCATTATATGTATTTAAATAACTTATGTCCTGGCAGCAAAGTGAGTTTGATGGTAGCAAGTTAATAAATAACCTTATTTTTATAACATTGTTCCCCACGTCTTCTGAATGAATATGCATCTGGCAGCTGTGTCAAGTGCAATGCAACCAGTAAATAGTATGCTGTGCATGTTAACACGCTGGTACAATAATTAGGCTGCTATTATCCAGAACCTATTTTTTTTTATTGGGGGTTGAGCAGACAGGGGTAATCTGGTATTAAAACTCAAAACCAGTGTCACCTTTTAGAAGTTTCACCTCAGACCCACTCGATGCTTTAAGGTGAAATTTTGATGATGGTGTTTCATGCATAGTAAAAGATGCATTGCTGACTTTGTCCTTATTCTAAATGTATTGATTGTGAAGGGTGCTACATTTAACAACCTTGAGCAGAGAGAGATAGTTAGCCATGTTTGGCAGAAGGCAGAATGTAGAGTTGCACCTTATGGGCTAAATCAGAGATTCATAAGCTTTTCTGAGCAGCAGCTTCCTCCATCGGGATCCTAAATAAGCTGTCCCTAAGTAACAATTTACTTTGCCTTCTGCTTAACAGTTTTGGCAATAACTGACTCCTTAGACCCTGCAGACCCATGAAGAGGGGCAGTTGAGGCTCTCTCACCTTGTTGTTAAATTGCCAATGAGTTTCAACTCTGACCTTGAGGCAACATCTGAAGAGATGTGAAGATACCTTGTATAGATAGTGTTTTTGGCTTCTCTGAAGTTGTTACCAAGCCCCATTATTTGTAGCTTTCACTGTGAGCACCTGAAAATCAATTCTACTTAACCAGTCAGCTGATGATTGACATACCTGACCTGAACTGGTGTAGATTTGGTGTTGTGTTTTATGTTCATGCCAGATGCTATTCATATCAGCTCCTGGGGAAGGGATTCTCCTTACCGAAGTGAGAGATTTTGTTGGATGTGTGTGTTTGCTGCTGAGACAAAGGTCTGGTGAGGCAGAGTCCAAAAGCACCTGCTCCTCTTTTTCCTCATTAATTAATAAGGTTGCTACAAAATCAGCTAGACCTACTCTTTTGGTGGAGAGACCAGTATGGAGCTGAGCCTGAAGAGCAATGGTGCCTTTCTTTTTGCAATGCTTTTCTTTCTACTCTGGTCAGGGTCCCTGCTGGACCAGTGAAACTTGGGATCTCTAAAACTGGAAAGTTTGGCTTTAGGTGGCTGTACTGCTGTGACCAAATGGTTGCACCATGAGGAAATACCACCTTAAAAATGACAGTCAGGCTAAAATGACAAACCTGGAGTATTTAGGTTATGTAGAAAATAACCTTCCTCTTGCAGTTCTTCCTGCACCTTAAGCAGCCGTTTATACTGAGTTAACTCGGAGGTTGGATTAGACATTCTAGACTTTGGCTAAGAATAGCATCATATTGCACATTCTTCTCTCATCCTCTCTCGAAGCCCCGCAAGGGCCTGCGGCAGCCCTTGAATCGGCGAGTGATCTAGATGAGAAGAGTGGCTCCTAGTTAAGTTCCATCCTTTGCATTTTTTGGGAGGCAGATCATGTCTTAGAGACCGCACCTTAACCTTGGAAGAACCATTCAGCTGACTGTTGTAGATCACCGTTTCTTAACCCATGGGTTGCGACCCAAAAGTGGGTGGCAAGAACATACGAAAGGGTGGTGCACAAACTTTAAAAATGGATGGACAAACTCTAAAACTAGATTCTCTCTTCAAGGAGAAAGAAGTGGGAAATCAGAGCTTTTCCCTTGCAGGCTGGCAGAGTTCTAGCTGGTGCGGGCATCAACAGAAGCTAGTGTCAGTAGCAGGGCTGGTGAGCACCAGCAGAAGCCAGCATGGGCATTAGTGGCGGGGATGGGGCTGCTGAGCATGTGCACAAGCTGCTGGCCGTGTTGGGGGTGGGGTTATGCACCCCCTTTCCAGTTGCCCTGGGCGGAGCTGGGGCAGCAGGTGGGAGGGAGGGACACTGGGTTGAGACGGGCCAGTGATGCTTACAAATGGGTGCTCGAAGAAAAAAGGTTGAGCGCCACTGCTGTAGCCTGCCTTTACACAGCCCTACTCTTGTTCCATCCAAGCTGAAAGTCCAAGGCCTTGCATGTAGGTCACCTGGGGTGTAAGTGCGGGATGGGCTGGGGCGGAAGGAGACTTACCCAGTGCTAGAGCTCTGCTCGGTCTCAATTTGGAGCCGGACGATTGGGTTTTGCCTGCATGAATCTGGAAAGGGCTTGGCGTTGCCGAAGATGAAAAATAAAAAAGGTGGGGCCTGAGCCGTCTGTGTGCTGGCAGGTGGCTGCCAGACGCGACGGGGCCCGGGTCCTGCTCCGCTCCGCAGGCGGCGGCGGCTCCAGCCCGGCTCTTGGGCG